TAATTTTAAATAAAAATAAATTAAAAATAAAATAATATTAATAATAAAATAAAATAAATTTTAAAATTCAATCTAGAAACAGTTTTTCCATCACATCGAAAAAGCGAAGTGTGAATGCGATTTTGACTTTTTTGGTAAATTTTTTTTCTACCGATAGTCGTATAAATGCACTCTAATATAAATATTAGAATATTATAATCAAAAATTCTATTTTACATCATCCGAGTAACGACGGCTGTTTTCGGCACTCACCCAGGGTTAACCCCGAGTTAACTATTATCCAATCATCAAAAACATTCTGTTGGTCGAACCAATCATCATTAACATTCGCCGCACTGCCGAATTTGGTTATTATACCTTGCATAACTGAAAGCATGAGAAAACAACTAAGTTTCAGTCGAAAACAAAATGTGTATTTTCGCATGGTGATATCATTGCGACCTTGGTACGGTCTGCGCATGCGCAAATAGCAACAGAGTTCACGTCGCGAAAATTTGAAGTGTTTGACTATATATCAACCGCACGGACGATGAAGAAGTTTTTACCCTTTCTCTTGTAATTACAAGGAGGAAAGGGAAAAATTTCCCCTTCCGCATGTTGAAGGTCCAATCGCTCTCATGAAACTTCTTCATCGTCAGTGCGGTTGATATACTTAAACAGTTTATTTTTCGCGGCGCGTCAAAAATGCTATTTTACAGGTCATTTTAATTACTTATTTTACTAATTGCTTTTTATTGCTCATAGTAAAAAATGATTTCATTGGAAACTTTGACACTCTAATTTTTCATTTTCGTAAGAAAGTGTAAAAATGTTAATTTTTGTAGGAGAAATGGATGTTACAAAAGTGCGATTTTAGTGATTGGTTTGTTTACCTTTTGGTTTGTTTACATTTCACAACTTGGACAGCTTTGTTAATTTTTAGTAAAAAAGGAATGTTTAAAAATCAAGTTTTGCCATTATGAATTTGTTTTTAAAGAATTTTGAATCTTAAAATGTGTATGTAATATATAAGGGGTAAATTTTCTCAAATAATGTCAAAATTGCAAGTTGTTCGATCAGGCTAATATTTTCACAGTATTTATTACTATGCTGCCGTGTGATATAAAAATTTAGTTAACTGACATTTTGGTGAAAAATGAGTTTTTGGTATCATTGAACTCGTAAGAAAAAACTGCGTCTAATAGTTGTAGTTTAAATTTTTTTGCAAATTATTGTTTGTAAAAAATTAATATTAAAAATCTAAGAAATTGCAGAAAATAAAGGAATATTTGATAAAAAGTTAAGGAAAGGACTTTGCGTAGTCCAAAAAACAAACGAGGCTACGAGCTCGAATGTAAGATTTAAAGGAAAAACTTAGTTAAAGGTATTTGTGTGTTTTTTGTATCAAATAAGTAGTCGAGTCTGAGCGTTGGATTTGAAATAAAAACTTTGCATCTTCAACGCTTGCAATTACCTAAGTTATTCCGTCAAAAAGTCAGTCGAGGCAGAGCCGAACGACTACTTAACTGCATTCGGCTAAACTCGGTTTATCCTCGGGTCGCAAGCAGCAAGCAGCCGTCCCCTTACCACATGACGTCATTGTCAGTTAGGTAAGTTTTTCCATCAAATCGGAGGACCGAGCTCGCGTACATTTTTGTTGAGCAACTACGCAAAGGACTTTACCTAACTTTTTACTTCATATTTGCATTCGGAAAAACACGCAAGTGCATTTTTTCATATAATTTGTTTAAATAATTAATTTTTTATTTCATAATTAAATAAAGCACCATCATTATACCCAGTATGTGAAGTTGAATTTAACAATTTTTTAATTTTTATTAGGGTTCTGAAAGCAAACAGGTTTTCCTTATTTTCTCGTTTCGATATAAATGTCAGTTAACTAAGTTTTTATTTCAAATGGCAGTAAGAATGAATACTTAAAACCACCAAGTATTATGAAATTTTATAAAAATTGTATAGGGGGGATGGGGGTGGAAGATTTTTTATAAGTATGAACAGTGAGTTTTCTAACAAAAAAAAAGTTATGTGCCATTTTTGAAAAACCGACTAAAATTTCGAGTAAGAGTTAACTCAAAAAATTTTGAAAAAACTTTTATACACTTTTATTCCTATCTATAAAAAGGAACAAATTCTGAAAGTATTTTTAATATTGCTAAAATTATCGAAAATTCTTATGATCACTTGGCGTGAAATTGCTCATAATAAAGAAAAAAAAATTGGACCTACTTGTTTTTCGTAGGTTTTTTCCTGCTCTTTCAAATGGTGAAATTTTCTTTTAATTCAAAACTTAACCCTCACTGAAAAAAATAATAGGCAGAATGTGCTTTTTGCTAAGGCAATTTTTGCCTAAGTACAAAAGCAATTCACGAAAAGCAATTGTTTCTTTAAAAAAAGGCAATTTTTGCCTTAGTTAATAAGAGTTAATAAGATAAATTTTTATTTGTACTTAGGCAAAAATTACCTTAGTAAAAAGCACATTCTGCCTTTAATTTTTTTCAGTGCTTTATTTTTTAAAATTAAAAATTTTTTTTAATAACTAACTTCTCGGCTTAATATTTTTTGACATTTTCTAAAGTACATTTTTTTGATTTTTACATTTTTGATGTAAGAAGAGATGATTTTTTTTACCTGAATAATTTTTTATTATTTTAATATCAATATCAAGCGTGATGCACGCATAAGGTGTTGAATATTTTATTTAAACAATCGTTGCAAATAACTGGAATACATTGTTTTAAAAGTAGAATTATATAAACATTTGTTTAAAAAAAATTAACACTTTATCTTTATTTTTATAAATGATTTTCATTTGTTAATAAATTTTTAAAAATATTTATTTATAAAGAGTCAATTTATCCAAAATACTTAGTATTGAGCTCATTGGATGCGGATTTTGTAATGCTTCACAGTAGTTATTTCAGAATTGCGTAAACTTTATTTTGTTGTAAAATATTTCAATTTTTATTAATTAATTAATTAGGGGAGTATAGTCGAGGTCGGTCCACCTTTTGACTTTTGTTTATAACTTTTTTTAAAAATAAATTTGATCAATTAAAGTATATTGTTGGAAAGTCCTATTCAATAGAAATATTTTTTCTGTACAAAGTAAATTGATTGGTTTTAAAATAAAAAAGTTATAAAGATTTAAAAAAAAATTTGTAGTCCAGGTTGGCCCTTACAGTCAAGGTCGGTCCATGTTTCAAATTCAAAGGGCATTACTGTTAAAAAATAAAATAACATGTTAAGAGTTACGGAAAATTGATTCTTTATTATTAAGTAATTAATAAAATTAAATAAAAATATTAATAAGATTATCAATTACATTATGAGTTATTCAGAATTGCAGTTTTTGCAAATGAAGTAGCTCGTCCTGATCTTTGCGCATTTTAAGTACAAAGTGGCCAACTTTGGCAGAAAGTTACATATTACCGAATTGTTCTAACCATAAAGAAATACGTTTCGGGATTCGATTTTTCACTTTGTGTTTCTTTCAACCATGAGTCCCACAAAATTTCTGCATGCTTGCCTTGACGATTTAATTTTTTTTATCTTTTATTAATGGTTTTTCACATGATGCACAAAACTTTTTTTGAACTTTTTTGTACCGACGTCACAGAAAACACTGTTTTCGATTCTCCGAAAATATAATTGAACAAAAAGTTAGGTTTCACTAAAACAAGCTTCGACAAGCATGCGCATAGGTGGCGCTAGTGAACTTGTCCAAAAAATCGCGAATGGCCTACCTAGACAGTGGTCTAACCTCGGCTGTACTCCCCTGATAATTCGAAAACAAAAAAACGTCATTTTTTTCGTTTTACATATTAAAAGTACTCATCTTAAGCTTTCTTTTGGTACAAAAAAAAGAAAAAAAGGGACCTTTATGAATAAAAAATTTTAAAAAATTTTAATTTTCAAATAAAAAGGGTAAAGTTTTGAATTTCAAAAAAAATTTCACCATTTAAAAGATCAGGAAAAAACCTACGAAAAACAAGTAGGTCAAATTTTTTTTACTTTATTATATAAAAGCTACGATTTTTTAGAAAACTCACTGTTCACACTTATAGAAAATCTTCCACCTCTATCCCCCCCCTTCAATTTTTATAAAATTTCATAATACTTGGTGGTTTTAAGTACTTATTCATAGTGCTAAATACTGTGAAAATATTAGCCCGATCTAACAACTTGCAATTTTGACATTGGTACACTTGAGAAAATTTGCCCCTTATATATTACATACACATTTTCAGATTCAAAATTGTTTAAAAACAAATTTATAATTGCAAAACTTGATTTTTAATCCTTCCTTTTTTACTAAAAATTAACCAAAAAAATTAAAATGCGAAAATTCATGCTTAAGAACGTTTGGTGCATATCGCAGGCGTGTTTACGCGAGATCGATATCTGTGCACCTCGAGACAAAAAATTCGATATTTCAGTTAGTTTTAAAGTCTCCAGGGATTTTTTTTGGATAAAATTCTAGAGAAGATAACGAATCCAAATATTATAGTTACAAAAAAATCGAAGGCGTTCTTATGCCCAAAAAAAATTAAATCAAAATTTTTTTTGACTTTTTTCCGCCAAATTTTGGATTTTTTTAAATATTGCACTTTAAATTGTCAGATAATGAACTATTACTACCTAAAATATAAACAAAATCTAACTAAATGGATAAAAGTGATTTAGGAGTGAGACGATACACTGGAAAATACTTTTTGTAGGAATTTTCTCGGATGCCCTTAAGGACATGTTTTTTCTAGTTAAAAAATCCTGTAAAAAATCCCCTATAAGATTATGTATAATTTCATAAACAAGGTCATGAACATTTTTATGTACAAGATCTTGTACGTGATCAGTTATGAAAAGTGGACATGTAATCATACATAATCACACACAAAAGTTTTACGTTATAGATTATTTACTAGATACCTTAAACTAAGAAACGAAACAGAAAACAAAAGAAGAGTTCATTTTTAATAATGGAAAATATTTTATTGTTACAGGATTTCTATCCTGGGATAAGGACAGTTGTCATGTAGATCTTGAAAAAGAATTACATGCTCTCATAGGACAAGCACCTGAAGGTGAAGAAGCCAGGAATGGTGAGTGGATTTTTTATAACAAAAAGTTCGAAATAACACTGAAAATGTAATAAAATAATAAAAATAGTAAATATTAATAATAGTAATAATTACAATATTGACCATGACTACGGCATGTAATTCCATTTATTCGCTTGGTCGGTAGAGACAGTGCACTGTACACACTGTTAAAAATCAGACTCCAAGTTTACACCAAAATGTTTGAAAATTTAAGTGTTGTAACATGTAAGTTTGATTTCATTACGTGTTCAACACCAGTGAGTTTTAAATAATGCTTTTTAAATCCCAAAAGTGTGAAAATACAATTATTTAGATTGAAAATTAAACTTTCTGGATTGAACGTTGTAAGTTCAATCTCAAGAGGTGTGAATTTGTAACTGCCCTGGTTTGAAAAGTAGTTCTGTCTCTTTCAGTCTCACGTACAGAAGGGAACGAGCGTTACTGACCGATTATAGCAATTTTGATTTCTCTGCGAAGCAGTCGTGAGTTTCCAAACAGTTTCTTTTTCGCGTGCATTTATATTTCTAAATTTTTCATTATACTATTATGAATTAACAAAATGAATTCAGAACTAAGAAAAGTGCTATTTGAGGGTAAGCTCATGTAAATAAAAGTGCCGTGCGAAGGAGAAAAACCGTCTTATACAGAGTTCTTAACTGCAGGTAAATATTAATAATTTCAATTATTGTTAACATTTAATTAATTACCCAACATTAATATTTATACTGTAGAAAACAATGCGATAAAATTGACCATCAATATAATTTATGCAGGGAATATAGATATAGATAAATTCAATTTTATTTCTGACATAACCACAAAAATTTACAGCCCTGAGTTTAGTTTATGACTTTAAATTAAAATTTAATTTTTTGTCCACATTTTTAGTACAAAATAAGACAAATGTCACAGATGAATTAACAGTCACTGATGAGGATGGTGTTATAATTGAAGAGGACACATTTGAATATTTTGAAGAAAAAGTAATTTCTGTAATCAAAAAGAAAGATTTTGGTCAAGGTTTGTTGATAAAAACAATATTAGAAAAACTTTAAGTTTACAATTTTTGTGAAATTTAAAATAGAATGAAATTAATTAAAAAAACTTTCAAACATTTTTTAAATCTATATATATAAAATCAGACTTTTGTCTGTACATTGCTCAGAACTTTAAATTTCGCACATAATTATTCGTTTTAGGCATCAAGGATTCCAAATATACCAATAAAAAATTTCGTGTATGTATGTATGTATGTATGTATTTATGTATGTATGTATGTATGTATGTATGTATGTATGTATGTATGTATGTATGTATGTATGTATGTATGTATGTATGTATGTATGTATGTATGTATGTATGTATGTATGTATGTATGTATGTATGTATGTATGTATGTATGTATGTATGTATGTATATGTGTGTCGGTATGTCACAGAATCTTTGTTCGCGCATCACTTAAAAACGGCTGAACCATTTGAAACCAAGTTTGGCAGAATGTTAGACATTGGGCCAAGGAAGGTTTATAAATTTACAGATTTGAAAAATATTAATTAGAACGGGAAATATTCAATTTTTTCGAAAAATTCAAAAACCAAAAATTTTCAAATTTTACATTTTTTTAAAAATGCTTTCAAACTTTCTATAATTGAGTATAACATGTTATTTAGTCACATTTTAGAATAGTTTTGCCAAAAATAATGTCCTATAACTAAGATGTAAGTATAAATTTTTTTTTTAAATTCAAAAAATCGAAATTTTTCAAATTTTATATTTTTTAATGAATTGCTTTTAAACTCTCTATAATTGAGTATTACATTTTATTAAGTCAAATTTTAGCATAATTTTTCCAATAATACTGTCCTATAACTAAGATGTAAGTATAAAAATGATTTCGAAAAATTCAAAAAATCGCAAATTTCCAAATTTTATATTTTTTAATGGACTGCTTTTAAACTATCTATAATTAATCATTACATGTTATTTAGTCACATTTTAGCATAATTTTGCAAAAAATAATGTCCTATAACTAAGATTTAAGTATAAAAATGTTTTCAAAAAATTTTAAAAATCACAAATTTTACATGTTTTGATGATTTGCTTTTAAACTCTGTATAATTGAGTGTTACATGTTATTTAGTCATATTTTAGCATAATTTTGCACAAAAAATGATATGACCAAGATGTAAGTATAAAAATATTTTCCATATCAAAAAATCGAAAAAATTATAATTGTTATTAATTACTATCAAGTTTAATTCAGTAGTATTTTTGGGGTTATTTTTATTTTATGAAAATACTCTTTTTTAAGAAAATATGTTATATACCAGTACCAGTCTTTGACGGGATTTAGTTTACCATAATAGAATTGACAGAGTGTCTACCAATTGCGCGGGGAAACCGATAAATAGCCGGGAGTTTAATTTGACCAGGAAAAACCGGGAATTTTCTTATCAAATTAAAAAAGTTTTATTATATTAATTTGTTTTTAAAAACTGCTTTTTACTTTAATTTTTATTGTCTAATTGTCTAATTGTGACATAATTATTTATAATTAGACTGTTCTTTGACTCTAAAAGCTGGTGTAAATTTAGGATTAATTTTTAATACATTAATTGCAGTACTACAAACGCACAAAGTACTACAAGTTGCCAAATACTGTTCCTGAATATCAAATTTGATAGAAAAAAATCTGTCACTGATTGAAATAGTAATATTTTCCTCACAAAATAGTTAATGGTAACTACAGTACCGGCCAAAATTGTCAGTCCACCCATTTTTGAAGGAATGAAAAAAATTTTTTAACATAAAATTTATGAAAACTCAAAATTTTTTTGGTTTATATTTTGAAAGACAATAAAATTTTGAAAAGAATAAGACCTCACAGAAGTTATTTGACCAAAATTTGTAGAAGATATTCTTAAAAATCGTCATTTTCAATGTTTTACAAAAATTTGAATAACTTCTAAAATAATGAACGCTTTTTAATAATCTTAGGCTTATTTTAAAGGTCGTTTTCTACGGAATAAGCATTACTTATAGGCATTAACCTGTAATTTTTTATTTGGAATAAGCATGACGTCAAAGTTGGACAAAAAAATTGGAAAAATTTGAAATAAATTTTTTGTACTAAAAACTATTCTAGAACATATATAAAACATGATATGGTGAAGATTTTTAAAGAAAAGTTAATAAAAAATATGTTTGAATTTCAAAAATTATTTTTCTTTTAATAACATTATTTCAAATTTTTTGAATTTTTTTGTCCAACTTTGACGTCATGTTTATTCCAAGTAAAAAATTAGAGGTTAATGCCTATAAGTAATTCTTATTCCGTAGAAAATGACCTTTAAAATAAGCCTAAGATTATTAAAAAGCGTTCATTATTTTAGAAGTTATTCAAATTTTTGTAAAACATTGAAAATGACGATTATTAAGAATATCTTCTACAAATTTTGGCCAAATGACTTCTGTGAGGTCTTATTCTTTTCAAAATTTTATCCTCTTACAAAATATAAACCAAAAAAAATTTTAGTTTTCATGAATTTTACGTTAAACAATTTTTTTCATTCCTTTAAAAATGGGTGGACTGACAATTTCGGACGGTACTGTAATTATTAGTTTTTCCCAGTAAAATTTAATTCCCGGCTATTTCCCGGTTGGTAGAAACCCTATCAAATGTATTAGCCGAAACTAAAATCCGTCGAAGACGGGTCCGACAGCTAGCACCCGCGTGGAAATGAAAGTACGGGCAAAGTCCATCAAAGTACAGAATAGTATGGGCAAAGTACAGTAAAGTACGGCTAATGAGCGTTTCCCATACTTTGGAATGTGCATGGTTAACAACGATATTTAAAGTACAGGGACAGTTCGGCAAAGTACGGGATCAAGAAAATAGGATTTTCGGGAATATTTTCGAATAGAGAACTACACCAAAGTATTAGAGGCCAGTTTTTTGGGAAATATTAAATCAGAAAATTCAAAATCTAAATCTTTAGAGTTCGGCAAAGTACGCGAAAGTACAGCAAAGTATGGGAGAGTAAAAAAATAGTTTTTTTTACTATTAAATCTGAAAATTGAAATTCTGAATTTTTGGAGTTCGGCAAAGTATGGGAAAGTACAGCAAAGTATGGGAGGGTAAAAAAATAGTTTTTTTGAATAATTAAATTAGAAAAAAAAATTCTGAATTTTCAAAGTACAGCAAAGTACAGAAAAGTACAGCAAAGTATAGGAGACTTAAAAAAAGTGTTCTTTTTGAAATCTTAATTAAGAAAATTTAAAATCTGGAATTTTGGAGTTCGGCAAAGTACAGAAAAGTACAGCAAAGTATGGGAGAGTAAAAAAATAGTTTTTTTAAATATTAAATTAGAAATTAAATTCTAATTTTTTGGAGTTCGGCAAAGTACGGGAAAGTACAGCATAGTATGGGAAATTTAAAAAATACATTTTTATTAAAATATTAAATTAAAAAATAAAATTCTGAATATTTGGAGTTCGGCAACGTACGGGAAGGTACAGAAAAGTATGGGAGAGTAAAAAAATAGTTTTTTTGAAATATTAAATTAGAAATTTGAAATTCGGAATTTTTAGAGTTCGGAAAAGTATGGGAAAGTACAGCAAAGTATAGGAGATATAAAAAATAGTTTTTTTTGAAATATTAAATTAGAAATTAAATTCTGATTTTTTGGAGTTCGGCAAAGTACAGAAAAGTAGGGGAGGGTAGGCTACATTGAACCGGGTATTTTATAAAGTCCAAGAACTAATTAAATTTTACAAATTCTGATCAGGTTTTTGTATCAAAATTAAGCTAAAGTACTCCTTTAGTTAATACACACGTTACAAACACAAATTATTATGATTAAATAATAAAATTTAATTTTTTTTTAACAAGTTACACTTTTCTTATTTTGAACGATCTGTGTCTACATTGAACCACCTCTAATAAAACACTACAATTTACTTCAAAAATAAGATTTCCACTTACACATTGTAAAAAATCT